CTAGCTCGGCAAGGCTTCGAAATGTTCTCACGTATGGGTTTATAAAAAGAACACGAGTCAACATTTCAATGACGTTTCTATCAAGATTTGGCCATTGTAGTCTATGCTGCAGCTCAGATTCGGCATCATAAAAATAAAGTTGTAAGTACCGAGGTTGTCCATCCCTAGGAACTAACTGATCGATTCTATGATATATTCCCCATTGAGCACGAAAAATATATACTCCAGATGTCATATTGCTCACTGTACTATCCAAAGTTACCCCCATTGACGTGAAGGAAAAGTTTGTGTTGTATGCACAAATATTGTGCCTAAACATTTCGCCTAACTCTGATTGCATTGTAAATAAATTGTATAGTTCTTCTGGAATGGGTGWGTATGCCAACTTTGTCTTCCCACTCATGCAACAAAAGGAAGGGAATTCAAATTCGAACCGCTTTGCTCCACAATGTTCACATGCATTTTGTTCCTTCAGCATACGATGTTGTTTAGGGACACCATCATAAACAAAATTGTATTGATCTCAGCATTTCTATTATTTTCCTTGTTTCGTTGATAATAGTTTCGGTTAGTAATTCTTCTCCTTTGAGCAGATGTTTGTGCATTGACATGAGTTGTTTCACCAGGCGCTATTTAAAAATTTTGAATATGAAAAGTGAAGATTATCATAAAATTATCACTTCGTATCGAATTAAAAAACATAGAGTTCAAAATAAATACTAACTTGTCGATTCTTGATTCACGGCTTCGTCAAAAAGAGGTAGCAGTATTCCACGGTCATTTTGAACGCATAATAAAGAAAACTTCATCTCAATGAGCCTCTAGTTTTGGGCAAAGTTGCAAAGATTCTAAAATAATAATAAATGTATGGTTTTTACCGTTGACATTTTCATGTCTCAACACTGAACATGTCTGGCTTGTTCCTTCACTATTAGCAACATTTTCCTTTTTTCGTTGATAATAGTTTCGATTAATAATTTTTCTCCTTTGAGCAAAAGTTAACGCACTGACATGAGTTGTTTCATTGATATTCGCTTGCGTTGTCTCCAGTAGGGTGATATTTGTCATGTGTGTCATAGATTGACCACTTTCTTCCCCTAGCGCTATGTAAGATATTTGGATACGACAAATAAATATTATTATTATAAAGAACTACGAAAGTCGAGTTCGAAAAGAAATACTAACCCATCGATTCTTGATTAACAACTTCGTCAAAAAGAGGTAGCAATCTTCCACGCTTATTTATAATGCCTACG